CACTGTCGTCCGCATTTCTGGAGAGAAAAAAAGAATCGATAACCGTGAGATATCGGAATTTTCATCACCAAGAAAAACCATTAAAAAACCAAAAACAGTTAATGATATAGATGAAGCTGCACAAGAATCAAATTTTATTTTTTTATAATTAGATAGCTATTTTTATTTCTGAGTTGTGTTCATTTACAGGCTCAATTTTTTTTCCGTTTCTCCTTTTTGATTTTATATGGGGTTTCAAGTTGTTTTTGACTTATTTCGACGTAAATCACAACAACACACTTTTTTAATAAAGCAAACAAGTGTTAAGAGGTATATGTACGTGTAAACTACAATTACAAAAAATTGATATGAAACCCATGAAACCACCAACAAAAATGTAAAGCTAGCTTCCGTACTAGAACATGGTGTCATTCGTCAAGATAATTTATCGTTTTGATTAATAGATCAAGAAATGTAAATATTCCCCTGTTATTTTTTATAAAATTATAAGAGAAATAAATTTTTTTCTAAATAGTATAGTTTATTATTTTGTAGAAAAACAAAATTTCGAAAATTTTAGTAATGTTTCAGAAACAACCGTTATTAATAATAGGTACCATTTTCCTTAATAAGGTAGAAATAAAATATAAACTATTTCCACGATTTACAAAGGCCTACAAAAAAATTATCCTATAAAATTTATATTTTCTGACTCAATTTCAAAAGGTTGAAGGAATTCCAAAACACCTTTTATGGCATAATAATTATTTTCAATTCCACATACTATCTTTAGCTGCTTTTAAAAACGTTCTAAGAAAGTCCAATCAGACCAATTTAATCCCTAAACTATTCCACACTTTTAAAATTTAATTACCTAAAAATATTAAAAACTATTTAAAATAACTTGTTTAGCAGACTGTACAATAGCTATCTTAGTCACACGTAGCGCGTTCTCTGTCTGGGCGTCGAACACCTCTAGAAATTTGATGAACTGTACACATTTCATTATATTTTTTTGGTGTCATCGGCGTCGACTACTACGGCCATTAGCCTTTTAAGTTTTTTGTTAATGCAAAAAGAAAAATGTGTTTCATAAGTTATTTCACCGAATAAGTTTTAGTTTAAAAATATACATTCAAAGTCTTAAATTAATGTCACCAGTGTGTTACATAGAAAGATTTTTTTGTGATTATCTTCTGAAAAAATATTAACAAAAGAAAAAGTTCTATCAAGGTAGTAATAGTGGGCATTTTCCGAATAAAAAAAAAAGTAAAAAAGAAGTAACAGTAGACACGTTTTTCTGACTGACTATTGGTCTTCATCAGTTCGGTGCAGCCAAGTGCAGAAGATCATGGAACTTGTGTTGAAAAAATTGTACAATAGGAGAGGTCACTAACAAGAAGTCAATAATACATTTGCGGTTTCAGCCAGTATACCCTTAATTTTTTGGGCTTATACTAACGTCACAAAAAGATCCGATGGTTTCCCTATGGCTATCAGGCATTGTTTCCTAAAATCTTTTGGTATGCTACAACAGAACATACAAAATATTTGACTTTGTAAATACACAAATATTTCTGAAAACTTACACATGAAATGTTATTCCCTCCTTGTATCTTCTACCGTAAGATGCATTGTTACATCCAGGTACAAAACAACAAGACATTTTGGAAGTTCTGTAAAAATGTAACACCAAATTACAAATGTTTTTTATTAAAATAAAACACTAAATGACTAAACTAATGAATAATGTTTTAAATAAGACATTTACTAAAACAAAATAAACAACACAAAAGATTATAAAATCGACACACAACAAACACTTAGATAACGAAAAGTTAAGGACGCCTTTAAACAACTAAAAAGAATAAAACATAAGATAGAGGAAAAATTTAAATTTTGAAATCACACTTCGGACGAATCAATACCGATTATAAACGTTGAACGCCGATCTAAACTTGCGCCGATTCTGTCTTGTCAGGAGTGCCAACTTAAAATTTATTGACATTTATTGATCATGGCGCCCATCATATGGGGGGGTCAAAAGTTTTTTACGATGCGGTATCTAGACCTTCTGAGGGCTATGGTTTCCTGAAAAAAGCTGATTTTGGACATGTTTCATTTTTGTAAAAAGGTCCTCAATTGATAGCATAAAAAACTAATGAAACTATATCTTAAAACTTTTTAAATTGGTAAATAGCAGAAGCATAAAAAATAGGACCAATAATAAGGTAGGTGAATACAATATCGCCAAGCTGGTAATAATGCCAAGAGTTCATATCTTGGAAGGTTTGGTTTCTAAAAGACAAATGACGCTTGGGGTACTTTCCCAATGGTAAAAGCAATCTACATTTCAATTTGTGGTGAATTCTAACCTCACATTTTCGTTTAGCAGTTGGTTTCCCACCTAAACTGCAATGCCACCACCACCACCACCACCACCGATGTAAGCCATTACTCGTGATATTTATTGGATATTTCAAAGATTGTGCAGGTAAGTGCTTTTTTTATCAGCAGTAGTTTTTAGTAAAGAATGAGCTATCAACTAATGGTAGACATTTAAAAATCGTATATTTTTTTACCCAAGTAAGCAAGAAACAGTAGAAATGTGCGCGTGTTTGTAATATCGCCAAAATAACCACGTAGCAATATCGCCAATAGCGATATTGCCAGACATGAATATTTTTCATGTTTTCTTGAATTTATACTAAAGAATCGTTCATTATTTTACAGAATCGTCATAAATAAAGCAAGAAACCGAGGTATAAGAGGGAAATGCTCGGAAGGAAATATGCAGCGTGCCCTAGCAGCTGTTGGAAATGGCGTGTCTGCGAATTCAGCAAGTAAGGAATTTTTGGTTCCTTGTAGGACCCTGAGAAACTACTTACGTAACCATCAAACAACAAAATCTACCATGGGTCGCAAATCAGTTAATAATTTAGAACAAGACGAAGATTTGTGTGGAAGAATAATTCGTTTGGCGGAAGTAGGCTATCCCTTAACTTCGAAAGTTTTACGGCGAAGCGTGTTCAATTTTTGTGAGACCAACCACATTCAAAATCCATTCAATGAAGTTACAAAATTGGCGGGCCGATATTGGCTAAAAGGTTTTCTCAACAGGCATCCGAATATTAGGAATCGGAAAGCTCAAAGCATGAACCCCGGGAGAGCTAAGAAACTAAATAGGTTTATTGTGACTATTTTGAAAAATTGGGCGAAATTCTTGCTAACATGGACATCATTGATAAACCTGAGCATATCTACAACATGAATGAGAAAGACTGTCGGTTAGCATTACACCACCAATAAAAAGTCCTTGCAAAAAAAGGAGCAAAGCGAGTGCACCTTGTGGCAAATGAGCATGGACAAAACGTTACAATAGTATCTTGTGGCAATGCCCTTGGTTCTGCGATTCCTCCCTTAATTTTATTTAAAGGAAAAAGGATGAAGCCTGAATGGGCAGATACACTTCCGGCGTCTAGTATGGTGTTAATGACTCCGAAAGATAGTATGACCATTGATGCTTTTAAGCAATAGCTGCATCATTTTGCCAAATACAAAGTTGCTGGTCAATATCTCTTAATTTTCATCAGAATTATTCTATTGTCACGGTCGCAGAAGAGTTGGGTATAACGTTATATTGCTTGCCAAGCAATACAACGCACGAACTACAGACTATGGATAGGTCTGTGTTTCGCTCATTTGAACACTATAATTCTTAACACTGGTCAACACATAGGGATCGTGCTATAACAAAACAACGTTTTGGAAACATTTTTTCTGTAGTTTGGGACAAATGTATGACACCATCAAACATTAAATCTGGTTTCGCAGCAACTGGAATTTATACATTCAATCCGGACATTTTACCACCCGAAGCATATGCTCCAAGCAGTGTAACTGAACAGGAAAATACTAGCCAACAACTAACTACGCAACAGAGTCATGATACCCCCTCCAGGTCCTTCCAACAGTCGACCCATTATATCACGTGCACCACTTCCAGATCTCTCGACAGCTGCTGGAAAACGTCAATGAACTCAGTTACGTGACATAAGTGATTCTGAAGAGAGTGAATCCCTGCCGTTCGAATGCTTAGACGATAATACAGATAGTGACGCCAAAGAAGACGAACAGGACAAAGAGAGTGAAGAAAATCAACACACGTCATTTTCTGATATGCTTACCACACCTGAAAAGGCACACAAATATTATGACACCAGGCCAAGAAAAGCAGCAAGCAATTACAGAGCACAAGTTGTTACCAAGTCTGACCTAACAGGCAATACTTCTACTCCCAAGTCTAAGAAACCTACACCAGGGAAAAAGTCCTTCGGTCCGAAGAAAGCGACCAGTAAAAAAGTTGGTATTGCGTCTTTGCATGATTTACAACAGTTATTTACACGACGATTGCTTAGGACTAACTAAGAAGGATAAATTTGAGGGTCTCATTTGTCCAAATTGTTCCTAAAATTTTTTGCTTGTTTATTACTACTTATGTTTATTTTCTTTTTATTTGAATAAACGTTAATTTAGAAAAACTGACTTTCTTTGTAAAATTTTCGATAAAACCAACATTTTGTACGAATAATATTATGTGGCGTTATTGCTAACCCCCCTCATATAATATCGCCAATGTGCAATGTTTTAAAAAATGTTCGCAAAATGCACAAACTTGTCCGTAACATCTTTTACTATTTTAATTATTAGTACTATTCCTACCCCGAAATTTTTTTTTTTTTTTAATATACAGTACTTTTATATAAAAACAAGCGATATTGCATTCACTTACCTTATACGAACCTTGAAGTACTTCTTGAACACTGTATAGCGTTTTCAAATTGGCAATGAAAATAGTTTTTCCCAATCTGGAACCTGGATGGATATTTAGAAGTAAAACACAGGTATATTCCATAAATAAAAGGCTTTTATTTGATTCAATTGTAACTATAATTGTCTTATAATGCACTATTATAAAGAAACCAAAATTGTACATGAGAAATAAGAACAATATTTAATTTTTCAGCAGTCTAGAAATTAATAACAAGTTACGGTACGATTTTTATTAGCTAGTATTTTGCAATATCATTATTTTACAGAGTATTTTAACTTTTTAATAGGTTTTTTTTTGTTTCTTGTAGAACTACTTGACTAGAAATTCATCAAGTACCAATTTAAAAAAAATAACAGTACTTGCGACTAGAATTATACTCTTTATTCAGCATAGCAAAATATTTCGACACAAAAACCGATAAGAATGACACAAGGAGAATTTCATTAATAAGCCTTCGGTTTTTGTACCGCTTGTTCCAGACATCCCAGCTTTATTAATGTTATACAATTTATAATTCATTCGAAGTCGTAGTTTGATGTATTGGCTTTTTTTAATTTCGGAAACTGTATACAATTTTTTCTTCTTCTTATTGAAGACAATGGAGAAAAATAACTATTATTATTTATTTAACTCTGACTCTTTGACATATTTGAATACATAAGTATTTGAAAACAACTAGTAGAACAGAACCTTTAGAAGTTTAACGGGACAATATCAATCAATGTATGTTCTATATCATAACAAAAATAACATGAAGAATTCTCTAGAAGGAAAACAATATACGAGTACAATATTCTTAATCAAACAAATTGAAGTAATGAAAATAATTAATTTTATCAAAAAAGGCCGCCAAACAGGTACATTTAAAATAGCCCTCATTTGGCTACAATTTTTTTGGATTTCAAAGAAACTTCACTGATAATTGATGAAGAGTGTTTATTACATGGCTCAGGAATTGTCATTAAAATAATATCTACGATATCGTGCCTTATTCGTGCTTTTACTTCTCTGGTGTCTGCTTCAATGCACATTTCAGACTTTTTAACCCTAATTAACTATTTCTTCTCGCCCAAATTGAAACCTGACTTAAAAAAGGATCCTTACGAAGAGACAATACTTTTTTTATAAAGTGGATTAAAAAACTCAAAACGAAGATTTTGTATGCCAACATGCGTTTTGCTCGTCGCAATTTGTATGCTATTAAAAAAGCTGTAGGGATACGTTCTGTAAGCTGGAACATTCGGTATACCCCATTTAAAATAAAACACCTAGAGCGAAAATAGGATAGTTCGTTTCAACTTTGAACCCCTTGCGTGATTCCCATCGATTTCATTAACAATTTGTCGAGTCAACAATAAATTTCAAAAATGGGGGACTTAATATTTATAAAAAAAACAAAATACAATAAAAAAAATGATGCACCACCGCTCAAAAACAGCGTGACTAAATTATTATAGAGAAAAATCACATTTCACAATACCTCAAATCGTCACCGTTCCAAGACACTTTCTTAAAAACATTACTACCTTAAACTGGTAATGCTTAATATATAATATTCTCTAGATGTCAATTTTTTTCATTTTGGAGATGCTATTTTGGATAATATCAGCTAAGGTTCCGCAACGGTTCGCCAAACCTGTCATAATAGTTCTATCAATTAAAGCACACCATTTTACTTGAAATGCCGATTTTTTATTTATTTAGCATACAAACATTTAGCTATCAATGTTCAATATTTTCTACATGTTAAAAGTGCTAGTAAAATAGGGATTAGATCGCCTTGATTAAAATGCAAGCAAATTTAAAAGCCCCTGAAATATTTCCAATAAATGAAAATGTTGCAAATTAGTTTTTGATAGCTTGTAAGTCTATATCTTTTAAATTACAGTTTTCGTCTACTTAGCTGCTTTTTGACATTCAAATTTGACAGATAAATATTTGACAACTGTCACGTCATCTTTTTAATCGTCAAAGTTCTTAATATTTATCGTCAGTTACCTAATTAGTAAGGTTACTAATTTTAGACAGTAAAAAATAGTAAACTACCTGTAAAAGAACATTCGAGACATACCTGATTTTTTCTGCCTTTCGTATGTTTACCTACCTTGACGTAAACATGACAGAAATTTTAACAGGTGTGTTAAAACACTTACACGAGTGTTCGTAAACCCTACAAATCACCATTTTTTTAACATCAACACCTTAATAAAGACTCAATGTCAAATGTCACGCGTTAAACGTCAATTAAGTCAAATGTCATAGAATCTGCCAATTATTTGATGTGAATTAATCGATAGAACGATTTTGGTCAGTTGGACGAGAAGTTTTTAAGGAATTTTTCTCCAGAAATCGTATCTCTTATTAAAAACAAGCCGGGTAATAGCCCCGAATCACAATAAATAATTAAAAAACAATGTCCAGTGCTTCGCACTCTTTACGAATGTGAGGTTATGTGATGGGTCTGAATCGGCGACATCGCACCTGTGACTCCGACGGGGGATCCCCGTTGGGTGGTGGTGGCGGGGGGCCTTCCGACGATTCGGGAGAACTCTCCGGTGCGTCAATGAGGCACGTCGAGATGCCTCTTACGCGAAGACCTGAAATTACACAAAATCCATGACATACAACGATTGTGGAAATCTTGGAATGTTCTTGCAAAGTTGGTGAGGGATTGGGTTAGACCTAAAAAGGGGAAAGGATTGAAGGTTAGTTTTATTTCCGATGAGTAGGTTTGGATTGGGTTTTTTGGGAAAAAATTGAAATAACTAGCACCGAAAAATTAATAAATTGAAAAACCAAAATTCTGGATGGATGCCTTTGGTTGATCAGTACATTGAAGTCACATTTAAAAACTAATGCACCTAAGTCGTTTACCAAACTTACTGTTATATTTATACTATTTACTGTCCGCAGTAGAGGCTCGTCTGTAAGGTCTGTAGAGCTATGCAAACTATTTTTAATAATAAAAATATCTATTCTACACCTATTTATAACTTTCATATGACTCCTTTTTTTACTTGTTCCAATCATAATCTGGCAGTCCGCCCCGTTAGCTGATGTTGCGGATTGGCAGGTCTAAAAGTTGTAGCGGCTTGAATTAAAGTATTCGAGCGGTCAGATCGAGCGATGTTATTAGTGCTCGTAGGTCTCAGATATGGAGTTTTTACACGCAAGAGAGCTACGGAAATATCTACCTTGCTCCTGTGTAGACAGTGAGTCTGTTAATGATCTTAACCAGTGTTGCTAATAATTCTCGGATTTAGTAATATTTCGGATAATTCAATGTTTATAAAATGGACCTATATCTTATAATACTATGAATGTATGAAACTATAAAATCATTTAAAATCAAATAAAATATTTTCTATATTTATTTACGGCAGTTATACTACTATTAAAGCACTTGTTTGTATAGAATTGCCTAACAACACGACGATCTTTATATGTAGCATAATCAAATTAGGGTATTTCCCCGAAATAAGTAATAAGGATTTTCCTAATAGTTGAGTATTCGACATTCGGATAATTTGAGCTCGACAATTGAAGACTACGGTGCAAAAGGGGGCACTCATTTTAACCTCTGCATACCCTTCATATGACTCGCCCAGCTCTCCAACAGATGAGCTGAGGGATTTAGTAGATACCTGTCGGGCTAAAAACCTGCAGGTACTCATTGCTGCTGACGCAAATTCACACCATATAACATGGGCAGCAAGGAAAACAACAAAAGGTCTTTACTTGAATTCATTCTAACCACTAACCTGGAAATATTGAATCGTGGAAACGAACCAACTTTTGTAACCAGTAGACGGAGCGAGGTTATTGATATTACCCTTGGCCCTTTCTTCGTTTCAAATCACATTGGCAAGTGGTACGTGTCTAAAGAGCCTTCGCTCTCAGATCATCGGCATATTCTCATGGAAATCAACAACGTCGATAAACCAGGAGATGTATACCGAGACCCACATAAAACCGATTGGTTTGGATACGGAGTGGAGCTGGGGGCAGTGTTAAAAACCGTTAAAATCACTCTTAATAGAAAAGAGGTAAATAAAACAAGGGTGGTCCTTAAGATCTCACAAGAGTCTTGTGAGATCTTAAGGACCACCCTTGTTTTATTTACCTCTTTTCTGAACATATAACTCACACATGGCTACTACCTTCAACTTTAATCACTCTTAATACTAAAAATGATATGGATGAAGTTGCAGAACAACTACGGGACGCAATTATAACATCATATTAAAATAACTGCGCGTTAAGGAATAGGAAAACTTCCAGGAAGGTGAGCTGGTGGAATACCGAACTCGCCAAACTCAGAAGGAAAACACGTAAACTTTTTAATAAGGCTAAAAAGACGAATGAGTGGGGGAATACACCGAAACACTCACAGAGTATAACAAAACTCTTAGGAAATCTAAGAGGGATTCATGTCAGGAAATTGAAAATACAACTGAAGGATGCAGACTCCACCGCATTTAATCAAAATATCCAATAAACCCTGTAGGGACCTTAGAAACCCAAACAGCGGAATACACTAAAACTGGAATGGAAACATTAGAACTACTTCTTAAAACTAATTTCCTTGATTGCACAACAAACTCGAATGCAGCAAACCAAACCCACACGAACTGGAAGCAAAAAAGGATCTCCAGCCAAGAGTAGGAAACTGCTAAACGGGTAGTTACAACAGAGAAAGTAACATGGGCACCTTCAAAAATGGTCCACTGGCTATATTTGGCAATACCAAGACCCATTATAACTTATGGAGCGGTTGTTTGGTGGCCAAAAGTAAACCAGAAAACAGCCCTTAATACCCTCTTAGGAGTACAGAGGCTGGCATGCCTTTGTATTAGAGGAGCACTGAGAAGTACACCGATAGCCTCTATGGAAATCATTCTCAACCTCCCACCCCTTGACCTAGTCATAAAGGGGGAGGCCAGAATGAGTGCATACAGACTGGAAATCTAAAACAACTGGAACCCACTGGGACATATAAAACATACCAGAATAACAAATGAAGTAAATGATTCTATATTAAACATGGGATCAGATCACATGACACCCCTCCTAACCTTTAACAGACTCTTCCAGGTAAACTGTAACTGGAACGAGGTAAATAAGGAGATAGATAAACACTTGCTTAGCGGTCTTGTATAGTATACGGATAGATCTAAAACTAACAAGGGAACAGGCTCTGGCGTACATGAAGTTAAACCCAAATGCGACATCATCGTCTCACTGGGAAAACATGCCACTGTATTTCAGGCTGAAATAAATGCAATCGAATTGTGTGTACGAGAGAATTTAAGAAGGAAGTACAAAAACAAACCATCCTAATTCTCTCAGATAGCCAAGCAACCTTAAAGGCTCTTGATTCAAACAGAATCAAGTCAAAGCTTGTCTGGAACTGCCTTGGAATACTAAATGATCTGGCAACCTACAACAAGGTAAAACTAGCGTGGGTACCAGGGCACAAATGTATCCAAGGAAATGAAAAGGCTGATGAACTCGCCAAAGAGGGATTAGATCTACCATTCACAGGACCCGAACCTGTATTTGGGATAAGCAAAACCTCTGCTCGACAGGCAGTGAACAGGTGTATAACCACAAAACACCAAATTCACTGGCAACAGATAAGAGGGCACAGAATCAGTAAGCTCATGCTAAGGGGACCAAACCCACGCATAGCTACTGAGGCACTACAACTCGCAAGGCCTCAGATATCCACCATTGTGAGATTACTAACGGGGCACTGCTTGCTGAAACACCTTCATGTGATGAGATTACACAATGATCCCACTACGTGTAGACTTTGCATGGAAGCGGAAGAAACCTAATATTAAGTGATCTTCGAATGCAAAGCTCTTACTAGGCGACGTTTCATCCTTTTTGGCCTAGAACCGGAAAGAACGCCTCAGGAACACTTGGTAGGGAACCTATTAAAACTAACCAAGGACACAGGACTATTCCAAAGATAGTACTTGAATACAGGGAAATCAGGGGAATACAATAGACCCAAGAGGCCGCAGTGTTCTGGGCCAAACCTAACCCTACCTGCTTACAACCGATAAAGATAAAGATGTACTAGCAACTGTGACAAAGTAATTTCTGTATTCCGATAACTGTTCCTCGCAGAACAAGAATCAAACTTTAGCTCATTATCTCTATACAATTACCGAGAATAAGAAGTTTTCCAAAATAATACACAGATAACCAGAACCAGCTTTCTTTCACGCGACAGAAGTTTTGGCTTGATAGAAAAGGTCAAAAGAAAGCGAAAAAGGATTATCAAAGGAGTAGCTCCGCCAGTATCTGTTTCAAGGATGAGCTTACTCTTCAAAAACCCGGAGTAAAGGCGACTCTACCTGGTCCTGAGGCACGTCTTTACTCGTCATTACCTCTCAAGCGCCCTAAGTATATCCATATAAAAGAACTAGCAACTAACTACGTAACAGCAGAGTTTATGTGGTTTTACGAGGGGCTTAAGTGCCAAGGAGAAGAACACCCTAACCAATCTGAAAACAGTTTCACAGATGTTTAAATGTATTACTATAACAAAGTATAATAATTTTGTAACACTTTTCTAAATAAAAACTATTAAAAATATATGGTTTTCTCATTTAGTAGTGCATAAATCGTATTAAAATATTTTAGATTCTCCCCGGTGCAAAAAGGAGGCAGCTCCTCAACTTGGTTTTTTTAATTTTTTTGGTACAATTTTTTTTCAAAAAGTTGTACTTAAAACACCTTATATATTATTTAATAAACTAAAACATGGTGTTTACAGAAAAACGAAAACAAAAAGGTTTTTTAAATAAACAGTTTTTATCGCCACCTGTAAATTTTTTAAAAATGGAGTTGCCTCCTTTTTGCGCCGGAGTCTTCAATTGAATAATTTTTATTTTGAATTTGTTGGCTGAAAAATACCATATTAAATCTTGAGGAAACGCTAATCCCGATTTAAAACTTAACTCGGGCAGACAAAAGTTCAAAAGTTTCATATACAAGACGATTTTCAAAGAAGTATATAATAAAAACAAGTAGATATGAACCATATGAAAAATTAATAGAACACGAGTATTTAGGTTAGGATAAATAAAACGTGTGATAAATTAAAGGAATACTACCTAAAATGTTTTATATAAATAAAAATTTCCTAGGTTTATTCGGTCATGTTTTTATTTTAGCACAGCACGTTTGTTTCGGAAACATTTTTTCCATCTTCGGGTGCTAGAAGACAATAACAGCAAGAAATGGTCAGAAGGCTTACGTTTTGTTCAACTTATGAAAAACAGAGCTCCTCATAGTGGCATAAACTGTACTCCGTATGAGGCCATGTTTGGAACAAAGTTAAAAGTTGGTCTAAAAAGTTTTTTGCCTGAGTACGTTCTGCCTAATATAAATTCTGAAGAGGACTTGGAAGCAATAGTAAAAGATCAAAACAATTTAGAGTCTGTAGAATAAGGTGCACTGCAAAATAAACCAGGGTCAAATTCTTTAGCGGAAGTAGGTCCAAGTCAACAATACGAAGGGGAAATATCTTCTCTTGATAGTTATGTTCAACCATCAACTTCGTTAGTTGAACCAAGCTCTGATTTCAGTAATAACAAAAGAGACATAAATGTCTCAGGGGAATCTGAAATTCAAGTTCCTGGTCATGAGAAACGCGCGTATGAAGGTTATGCAGATTTCTCAGAAGATCCTAATGTGAAAAAAAGAAAAGCCGCCATATTAAAAATTAGGGAGATTTCAGCAAGCAATCTAACAAAACAAGCTGAAAAAATGCTTCAAACTTCTAATTCAAAATATCCTGCAGCTAAAAAGGGCGACACAGAGTTCGAGTCCCAGATGTCGACCGATGGAAGAAATATTTTGGCAATTGTCCTCGAAATAACAGATGATAATCTTTATAAATTAGGCACGAAACATGGAATCCTAAATCAACTTTATGCTAGGAACCAATTTACAATATGTAATGAAAAATTTATAATTGCCGAAGAAATTCCATCGTCAGAAATTTCACTAAGGAAATGTTCAAGAATGTCATCCAAGACTGGGGGCCAAGGCTATAGTCGATTCGGCTGTAAAGGGGGCTGTAAATCTGACAAGTGCAAGTGTCGTAAAGAAAAAAGCTTTGTAACTCGAAATGTCACCAAAGTGAAAGCTGTTCTAATAAATAGAAGCTCTAGAATTTGACATTTTGTATGTATAATTTATTTATGCACATACGGTACCTAATATGTTTTTTCAGTTTGTTACTTAAAAATTTGTTTTTAATGTAATAAATCCTCTTATTTTTGTATGTAGACAAATATAAATAAAAATATTCTCAAATTGCCCACTCGACTTCCAGCATTATTCATAATGCCTGGGCAATGTGATTTTTTCTATATAATTTATCATTTTGTCCAATCCCTTCGGGCACTTTTTAAATTGCCCGGGCATTATAAATACTGCCCAGTTATTTACATTGCCCGTATATGTTTATTTTTTTTTTAATGTAACACCCTGTATTTTGGTAACTAAGCTCTGTCAAAATTCATCAATTAAACGAGAGCTCTCTAGGGTAGCGTGTTGTCGATCGAATATACTAACACCCTGTATGTGGATCTTACGCTTCTATACACGAGTGCTATTCTGATCACTTTCTGAAATCTTATTTACTGCTTTTATTTGTCCTCCTTTTCTCTAGATTCCATAACTGGAACCGAGGCGGGAAAAACATAATACGAAAGAACGAAAACGCATCCAAACTTTGGACAATACAATTTTTTTGTTCAAAGCAAAGTTTCAAGTAAAACCATTAAGTAGATACATGACTAGAACATAAAATAAATAAATTTTGTTAGAAGTCATAAATTATTGTTGAGTAGGTACATCCTTTTGAGGTATTATTTTTTACTTAATCTACTTAAACCCATATGCAACTGTTGGATATTTCTTTTCAAATTAGCAATAATAATTGTTGATGCAGGTACATCTTTAAAAAGTCAAAATATTAAAAGAACAAACATTGTTAGATCATAAGATTATGATAATTTAGATATACGTATATTAACTCAATATACAATGTGTAAAATATTCTTTTGATAAAATAATTACTTGACTTAATAAAAATATTAAAATAAACTTTTGTTAAATGGAAAAACTCTTAACAGTTGTACGATAAAACGACATTTAAACAATGAGAACTTAACTAAATATTTGTTATAATATTACAATAGTAAATATTGTAGAATAGAAGTGTTAAGAATGCTAATTTGATCTGATATCAAATTGGTGAAAAAATAATGTCTCATGCTTTTTATTATTTATTTAAGCTTGTCAATTTTTTTAATTTATAATATAGATAACAGCGCTTAGTTTAAAAATAAGTTTACCGGACTTCAGTGTTGTTGTGGGATGTGCCCTAAAATACCTATTTTGTCCTTTTTTCCCCAAGGAAGTTCATAATTTGAACAGGGCCGACAAAAGGGGGGGGGGGCAGCCGGGACTAATTCCCGGGGCCCGGCAGCGGTATAAGGGGGCCCGGCAACCGTGACGGGGATTTTTTTTCTTTCAGAAGTTCGGCACAAGAGGGGGAAGTTTTTGCTTGGGGACCTTTTTTTTAGAGATTCAAGTAGAGGAGGAGAAGTTTTTTCAAGTAGAGGAGGAGAAGTTTTTGCTTGAAGACCTTTTTTTAGGATTATTTAAGTAAAGAGGAGTAAAGAGGAGTAACTTATTTGCAGGTTTAACATCTCTAATGAATTTTTTGTTAGTGTTGTTTACACTAAAAAGGGTTTTTGTTTTCATAGTCACGCTGTTGCAAATGGCGGCCATATTAGGTTTTTTTATCTAGATACTCGATTTTTCCATATTTTAATAAGGTAACTGAATAACGTTGCGAATCTAATTAATCGCTGTAATGTTATAAACTGATTTGTGTTAAATGTACTTATTTTGGTACTTTCTTTTTATGTAACACATGTTAAGAGATGGAAAAGTTTTTTTTATATAAGTGACTGGCACCGTGTTTTTTTTATAAAAAGGGGAAAGCACTACTAAAGAGGACATAAAGAGAAAAGAGCACTATAAAGAGGATAATATCGGGAGAACACCACACATGGTACTCAGTAGAATAGACAGTAGACCTGGAGAAAACTATCATTAGAGTCAACTAGACATCTATACCACGTTCTTTTGGAGCTCAGAAATGAACGACAACACCCAGGAGGTGCCACTTTAAGTTCTGGAAAATTCTCAACCGTCCCACTGAAACAGATAAGTGTCAGCTTGACACCTGAGCATTTTTACCTATATGTATATTGAGTCACGTTTTATTGTAAATTTAGTTTAAAATTTAGTTTAATTTAATCTAACTTTTCTTTTTTTTGTGAAAACTTTCAAATTGTTATCTAATTGTGTTAACCAGTAGAGACAAGTTCTTGTTCACTATCTACATTAAAAGTCACTATTTTTAATTTCATTCTTTTAATTTTGTTTCCCTTACTTTCAGCTGGCAAGCTAATGGCATAATTTGTATTTATTAAATACCTAAATACATGGCGTTCATAATAATTCATACAACATTTTCTTTGTCTTTTTAAATAAAGATAGTGCCATTAACTTGTTAGCTAAATTCTAAACCGAATTTTACCGACCCATAAATATAACACTGAGCTAGGCTGAAGTGTTTAAGACTTCTTTTCACAAGTTTTTTTAAACCTGGCAACAACTAATGTGACAAATTTGATACCCAACAAGTAATTCGTAACATAACTTGTAACAATACAGTAAAAGTAAACAAGAGTCGAAAAAATTATACTCATTGCGCAGTTCACTTCATATACCAAATTAACTCCAAACGAACAATGCTCTACCTCTAGAAAGTGAAAAATTAATTACTATTGGTCAATAGGGGCACAATTTTCAAAATATGTTATTAATTATTGCTGATTTTTATTATTAATTAATGAATATTATAGGAACAATGAAAACCAACATAAGCAACAAATAGCGTTTTCGATTCCAGTGCTCGGCTTGCACTGAGTGCATACGAAAGGTGGGAGACATGTCGATAGCAGTTACTCTGAAAAGTAACTGGTATCAATATATCGTTCATCTTTTATGTGCCCTCAACGCAGGCAGGGCAGTGGAATCGAAAACCCTATAAGTGTCTTAGACTAACTATGCATTGTCGGATTTTACTGCCCAACTCTTTGATTTCATCTAATATTGTACTACTGCTATCTCAACTCATACAACACCTGCCTAAATGCCTAAATGCTACAAATGTTACCGAGTAGGGCACACCGCAAATAAATGTGAAGTAACAGAAGCAAGTGCGGAGAAACAGGTCATAAGATAAAAGATTGCAAAAAAGAGCAGAAATGTTATCTATGCAAGGATAACAGCCACAAGGCAGAAACAATGCGCGAGAATGGGAAGACCTAATAGACAATAAGACGCTCAAAATGAGTGGATGGCCGAAAACAAATTAGTTTTATAAAATAGAGGAAATAAACCAACTTTCATAAGAAACGAACAAGAATCTATAATAGACATAACTTTAAACACAGAAAACAGCGCAAATGAAATAAAGACATGGGAAGTACTCGATGAGGAATCCTTAAGCCTCCACCAGTACATAAAATACGAACTAGGGAAATCAAAATCAGAAAAAAAAAGAACAGAACACAAAAGGCTGGAATATCAGAAAGATAAATAAAAACTCCCTCAAAGAAACGATACGGCAGAAGCTGGAAAAAGAACAAAAAACAAGCCCCAATGAACTTATGAGTATACTAAAGGAAGCATGTGACGCATCGATGCCAAAGAGAAATCAGAGCTCACACAAACAGAAGATGTACTGGTGATCAGAATAAATCGCCAAACAAAGGATGACATATAACAAAATAAGGAGGCAAATAACAAGAGGAAGGAAACAGAAAACATATATCACAGATATAAACGTAAAAGAAAACTAACTAAAAGAGGCCAGAAAGATACTTAAGACCAACATGATTGGAAATAAATGGAAGGCATGGGAAGAACTCTGTGAAAATGTAGAAGATGATGTATGGGGAAAAGCATACAAAATAGTGATGGGAAAAATAAAGCCCAATCAGCTTAACATTCTAGAGGAAATCAGAAAAGAGACAATACGTGTAAAGCAAGGGAATTCGACATGGACTCCAGAACAAGGACAAGAGGAACATATTAATAAGATAGGAGAAGAAGAAGTAAAAATCGCAGCTCGTAAGCTTAAGAACAACAAAGCTCCTGGCCCAGATGGGATACCCTCAGAAATAGTCAAAATGATAACCGTTGAATTCCCTCTAGAGATAGCGAAGATACTAAATGATATTCTCGAAGAAGGCCTCTTCCCTGATGCATTGAAGAAAGGCCGGTTAGTGCTAATTTGGAAACCTTGAAAGATCGAAGAAGATTCGAGTTCCTATCGCCCACTATGCTGATTGGATATAGTAGAAAAACTCCTGGAAAACAAGGAAAACCTGTCAGATAGGCGGTTTGGCTTTAGAAAGAAACGATCTACTGTTGACGCTATGAGAGAGGTTCAAAAAATAGCAGAATTGGAAATGGGAAAGAACCAAAGAACTAGAGGATTTTGTGTGCTAGTAACTATAGACATCAAAAATGCCTTTAACACAGCCTCATGAATGAAAGAGCTAAGAAGACGGAAAATATCAAAATATATTCGCACAATAATAGCAAGCTACTTTACAAACCGCTATATTATAGATGAAAACCTTGTGGAATACAAAATAGCCGGGGGAGTACCGCAGGGTTCGGTTTTGGGACCGCTGCTTTGGAACATTCTGTATGATGGACTCCTAAAAATTAAAACTCCAGATCAGACAGAGCTAGTAGCATATGCTGATGACTTAGGCGCAGTGGTCGTAAGAAGAACTGAAACAGAACTAAAGGAAACTACAAATGACTTACTGGAGATGATTAGTAGGTGGATAAAAGATCATGACCTGCAGCTGGCACCTCAAAAGACTGAGGCAGTGCTGTTGATAGGAAAGAAAAAAATAAAAACATCAATTAGTTTCTAATTAGAAGGGGTCCAGATTGTACCTAGGCGTTACGATGGACCAGAACTTAAACTTTAGACAACACTTAAAACGACTTACAGCTAAATGTAAACGAACGTCAGCGGCGCTGATACGAATAATACATAAAGCAAGGGAAGTTAGTGAAATAAAAGGTAGAATGCTAGTAGCAGCATCTCAGTCAATTATATTATATGCGTCAACCATATGGGATAAGGCCCTAAATAGAAAGCATAATCTAAAATTAATTGACAGCACGCAGCGGATTCTGGCAGTAAGAATATGCAATGGTTGCAAGACAATATCTACAGATTCTATCCTAGTAATATCCGGAGTAATACCCATAAAACTGCTAGCGCTAGAGAGACGCTAAACAATTGGTAAAAATAACATAGAGAAAACGAAAGCCAGAGAAAGGACGATGCAAAGATGGCAAGAACAATGGTAGATGGACACGAATCCTGATCCCTGATCTAACCATATGGATAAGGAGAGATATCGGGCAAGTCAACTACCACTTGACACAATTCTTAACTGGCCATGAGTGCTTTATGGAATATTACTTTAAAATTAAAATAACAGATACAGATGAGTGCATGTACTACCAAGAGATAGACACGACTGAAGACACATTTTTCCAATGTCAAAAATGGGAGGACAGAAGGAGACAAGTCGAAAACAGCATCGGATTCCAAATAACAAAAGAAAATATTATTAAAACCATGATATCAGGTAAAGACATATGGCAGAGGATATCCGAAATGATTGGTAGAATATTAAAGGAAAAGGAGTTAGAGGTAAAACGAAGAGAGCAGAAGACAATAAAAAAAAAGATAGAAAGGATAAAAAGAAAATACAAACTACAAGATGGCGCATAGCAAAGTAATGCCTGACGGCAGTTCCACTATACCTCAGGATAAGAAAGAGAGTGGTTTTTTAGTCTGTAAAAATCTGACACTACCTTGCAGTACGGGCTGTTTGGTGTCTTTTAAAGATCTTTCCACTTCCACGAAAGACAAAAAGGTGGTTGGACCAATTTTCTATCCAGATTATGTGTAATCTCATCACCCCCTACTTCGTGACCCATATAAGAGTAACTGTATGTTTCGCGCCTAGCACCAAGGTGATTGTGCGGCTACATATTTGCCTGGCATGAGGAAGGTAGTGGATTCGATTCTCGCTGTTATGAATTTTTTCAGCGGTTTGCTAATAGCAATAGGCAAATGCTGGGTCAGTAACATCTTTTCAGATACCTACCACCATTCGTTCCCTCCATTCCTCTAGACCCCAGATCTCTGATCCTTCCAGTGAGAATGAAATACACATTGTTTACTTTTTTTACCCCTTCGCCTAGCTCATTATTTCTCTAACCATCTTTTAGCTGAGTGCGCTCTGTTTGCTGCGATCGTTTTTATTCGATGCTTGGATGTTTACCAAAACTTTAAGAGTGTCTAGTTCCAGGCACATAGAACTGCTAATGCTATCGTTTTGTGGTTTTAAAGTCATCCGTTTAACATTAAATGGTCTTAAAATTTCTGGATCATATTTTTGTAAACCGATAAAGAAAAAACGAAGAATATGGTTAAATCTGAGAAATTATGTACTTACCACTACTAGAATGCCGTTTGAATCTAAGCTTAAGCTGGCTGGGATCCGTGACGTATTTATCGGTCTGTCTGCGCCGTCTAAGTCCAGGCGTCAAATCTCCAGACCACGACATGCATTTGGCCAATCGCTGGCCGCTAACCGCTACTGGAATTTTTGACAGTCGACCTTCCATTGCTGGACTCACCTGGAATCGACATTAATGAATGTTTACGATAAAACTGGTCATCTACATTACGCACCGTACAAAAGCAAACTAGAAATTCTCTTTATGGATGTTATGGCTGCTGACATACCAAAACGTTCTGTTTCGGCTGATATTAACAAATAAAAATATGGAAATATGAAAAGAATGCTGTGGTAAATGATACGTTATAAGCTGGTAAGTGCGACCTTTAAATAGAAAATAATAGGCATAGTTAGAATGTTATTTTTAGTTTTTTTATGCTATGAATACCAAATTCGTGCCAAAATTAAGAGAACTGTCAACATCGTACTGTATACAATATTAGCGGCTCAGAAATTAACTGCATTGAATTATTTTTTCCTATGGTTTTTATCAATATTTCTTGTTATAATTGTTTTAAGTGTATTACAATTAAATAATCTTTCGTTGTCTGTCTTTTCCAAAAATTTCGGCTATAAAAGTTAAAATGAAAAATATTCGTTTGTGTCAAGAACAGTTTAAACGTTCATTATTAGCAACACTGTCGATTGCACCAATATTTTGTTTCGAGGAGATGGTTCGATTCGAAGAGAAGTGTAGTAGAAGACCAATGTTTTTTAATCAAAATTAACCGGTATCTTAAGAAGTCTTAATATAATTTCGTAGGTAAATACGTATTAAAAACAAACAGATAAAATAGCTGCTGGCTTATAAAACAAAAAAGGAAAGCAAGGTATGAAGAAAGATAGGAAGAAAGTAAAAACGAGTCTAATATTTGTTAAAGTAGAAAACTATTTTTGCCGCACTACCTTTTTCTATTCATTACAGTTAGCGAAAAAAACGTTATTTGGAAGAATAATGATTAAACTAAAATATAATATGAAGAACTAAAAAATTTAAATATGCTGTAAGCTGTGTGTTTCGATAAATAAAACTGCTAGCGTTTGGTATTTATTTGAAATTTTGAAACATACTTGGTTTCCAAATGAACCAACAAAAGCAGATCAAATTCGCTTAATTTTGGCTACAGGAGCTTGTCTGGCAATTTTATGTTGGCCAAGGCTTTGGTCCTATAACAAAAACGTTTATTTCTCACACATAAGACAATAACAATTTAAATAAAACAAACCACACTCGGCGATTAATAAACAATACATTTGATAAAATGGCGTCGTAAACCAAAGGCAAATTGAACTAAACTTGGTGGACGTCCTATTAACACAGCACATAAATATTATAAAAAATCAGTGCTCCAATGATAAACGATAGACTATTGCAAATGCGTGAAATTAGTGTAGATATTATTTACAAAAACAGTTGATATATGAAAATTACTGTCAAAATGGATGATGGATGGAAGATTGAAAAACCATCAGAGATTACCACGCCTAAATAATAGCGGCTCCACAAAAATAGTGCACTTCTGTGGTTGTATTTGTTTAATTTAAGATCGATCATTTATACATGTTGGATCATCACAAGAGCAAATTGTGAAAACTAGCAACAGTGCCAATGAAAAATAGAATACCATCTAAATTTGTTGATTAAAATCTGATTTCGATAACTATTTTTATTTTCCAGATAAGACTCTATACTAATTATATACAGAATTTTGAACTAGGTCTTGTTCGCATCGCCTATAAAGTGCGGAGTCTGATAGCCAGATGCTAGATAGGTGCTTCCGTACTTAGTAAGATACTAGTACTAACTATAAGTAAATTTGAGGATTGTCCAAGTTGAGTAGTTCTTGTCTGCTATATTTATAGATGAGCATGTTCCTACCAGTTATATTATTCCTGGTAATTTCTTTAGTTTTTATCGAATCCCCATGAACTCAATTTGAACTAATTGACTACATAGCCCATTTTATGTTTAGATTTAAGGATATGGAGTAAATCCACACCTTGAGACTTGATTTGTTTTTAAACGGTCGGTGTAGATATGAATCGTACATGCCAAATCCGGCTGGTCCATAGTTTTCGTTATACCTTTGAAGGACTTTCTCAGTGAGATGGAGTCTATGTTCTCTTGAAGCAGTGGAAGCATGTTGAGAGCATCATATCAAAACATCTCGGCTCACCGAATCACCGAATCCTATGTCAATTATATTCCAACAGTGCGGAGTCATGTCATTGTCATAAGAGCAGCCTCCCTGATCTAAATATCAAGGGAAGTGAGATTTAAGAATGGCTGGTTGGTGTGATTTTTATAGCTGCTGTTATGTTGAGACATGATGTTTTTTGTACTTGTTCTATTTTTCAGATGATTCTCAATTTTTGGGTTTTCGGTACTGTGGTGCTCGCGTCTCGTTTGACGAGCACATAAAGAACTTCCAACATTTTATGACATTTTTGTTGCTCTTTCATGTTTGACGTTTTATGTCATTATTTTTATTTTTTTGGTTATATGCAATGTCTTGAGAGTGACAACCATCTGGTCTCTTCTTTTTCAATAACGTACCTGTTATTTATGAAGCTATGCTTTTCCTTTTGTAAATCTTTAGGCGAGCACACAAAGAACTTCCAACATTTTATGACATTTTTGTTGCTCTTTCATGTTTGACGTTTTATGTCATTATTTTATTTTTTTTAGTTATATGCAATGTCTTGAGAGTGACAACCATCTGGTCTCTTCTTCATAAATAACAGGTACGATATTTATGACTAAACCAGCTTTCTTATTAAATGAGCAAATTGACAGCGCGCAAGTGCCAACCAAAAAGACAAAGAAGGTCACTTTTTCTATTAATAATTTAGTTCAATATTAGTTATCAGTTTTAATTAATTATTAATCAATTTAATTGATTCAATTTTGTTTTCCTTTTCTTTTAAAAGAGAGGGGGAGCATTTGTGGTGCTCGCGTCTCGTTTGGCGAGCACACAAAGAACTTCCAACATTTTATGACATTTTTGTTGCTCTTTCATGTTTGACGTTTTATGTCATTATTTTTATTTTTTTGGTTATATGCAATGTCTTGAGAGTGACAACCATCTGGTCTCTTCTTTTTCAATAACGAACCTGTTATTTATGAAGCTTTCCTTTTGTAAATCTTTACAGGATTTTCCACCAGGATAGAAGAACGAAGTAGACAAGAAATTGAGAGCCAGCCATATATAAAGGACCGCCGTTGCTATGCTGGGACAGTAGAAAGACAGCAGACAGTAAACAAGCATTTTCCAAACATCACGAACCAATCCAAATTTTATAATTCAGGTTATACCATTGTTATAAAGTTTTTTTCTGATTAAAATTTTTTCTAAATTAGTTGTAGCCATTACTCCAAAGGATTTAGTGGTCGCCGATCGGGACCACTAAATGTACCCAGACAATTGCACCATATGTTGTTGTGGGTCGTATGTTGGTCGAGGAAGTCCATGTGAATTTAGTATACATTTTATTAATCTGAATTTTCCGGTCCAGTAATATAATTTAAAAAAGACCCTTGTACCTTAATAATGTATGCACATTTTCATCAGAGAGCTGTATGATGTTCTGCATAATATGAAAATTTTTAAATCGGTTGAAAAATGTATATTTTACAATGGATTTACAAAAGTACTTGCACACTATTTTTTGTTTCTTGAAAAATAACCTGTCCAAATTAGGGAAAATTAATGAAATATAATTAAATGAACTTACCGAAGTTTCCCTTAAAATTTGACTAGCATTATCGACGCCGCTATCTTCGTCGTCCTGATCCTGACGTTTGTCTTTCAGTAATGGATTTTCAGTGGCGTCGTAATATTCCGATTGTTCGTCCATGCCCGGACTGAGACCGTTTGCAATAGACCTTTTCTCTCTAAAACAATAAATAATTTTTTGGGCTATTTTTTTTATATTACAAAAATGTTTGTTTAATTAATTTAAAACTGACAACTAGAAAAATGCACTAAAATTGCAATATCTAAAGACAAATATGAAAATGATAAATGAATCTACAAGCGTTGGAAGAAAGTATATTTCTATTTCAAATGCAGATGATGGAGCTCTTAAAAATTTCATAAATATAAAGTTGCGACTTAAAAGCGATCTAGAAATTCATGTGCTAAAAGTCATAGAATAATATGCGTTTTAGATATAAAAAAACTCAACAACTCAAGCCAACAGACATATATTTTCATATAAATTTAGTAGAAATCAGACCAGTTGACAATATCCAGTCAAAATAACACGAAGCAGCAGTAAATTGAGATTTTTCTGTGTGGAAATCGATGCAAATACTTAATGTACCATTTGGGAACGCGCGACAAACTTCAGGAGACCGAACCATCAGTGAAGCGGCAAATATTGACATACTAAATCTGATGTCATCTGTCGCCTCTACTGAAATGCGTTTCTTATAATTACATGGGTTCAAACGTGAAGAGACCGTCCAGTGACTTGCTTGCTCTCGCGGCGCGTTTTGCCAGGGAGGTTCAATTGAAACCCGAAATGGTAGCTTTAAGCCCAATTGTACCACTCCAGTTCAGGGAGGTTCAATTGAACCTGGTTTTGACTCTGACAAACGTCATACTAATTACAACTAAGGGCGGGTTGTACAATAGGTAGTTCAAATGTAATTTTAGTTTAAACTTAAACTGTGAACCTCATTTTATAATCATCGGTTATTGTTAAAAATGACATTTGTACACTGAATAAAATCAGTTAAAAATTAAACTTCTGTTAGTTAAACTGAGTTTACATCATTGTTTGTACAACCCAACCTAAATGTCACAGTTAAAACCAGGTTTAGTTGAACCTCCACTGAACTCGAGTGGTACGATTGGGACCTACCGGTTGTACTAATGCAAACCTAAGTTAAAAATAAACTTTTAATTGTGCATTTCTGGTTTAACAATAAACCTGGTTTATGTGATATATTAAATTTTATTTAATAAAGTCCCCAATATTTGGTGGCTCACTAACTTTTAAGACAGATAACAACAAACATTACCAGTATTTTGTTGACTTGATTAATTACTATGTTTTATTATTTATATATGTTAGCAGGTAAACAAATTTTTGTGTGATTACTCATTGTAATATAATGTATAGAACAGCGGCAGTCAAGAGCGGAGGGTGCGGAGAAACGTTTGAGGTAGCAAAGTACCGCCGACACCTCCCCAGGCAGAACGAAGTGAGTCGCCTTGAGTGTAATGTGGTTGTTGGCTAATTCTCATGTATTATATTCTATCGGTGATCATTTGGTAACTAAATAAATATTTCACTTGATTTCGTTAAATTTATCAGTTAATTGATTGTTTCAGATTGTTATTGGCCATATGGACGACTGTCCTTTTTTAACCGACTTCAAAAAAGGAGAACGCTCTCAATTCGTCGCGATATTTTTTTTTTAATGTATGTTCAGCGATAATTCTTTAACACGGTGTCCGATTTCAATGATTATTTTTTTCTTAGAAAGGAGATACTTTAGGGTGGTCCCATATTAATTTGGTCGAAATCTAATAATTGGATCCATTAGAAAATCCTCAAACTCTTCATTTTTAATGTATGTATAGCTGTAATTCTTTACTACCTAGTCCGATTTCTATGATTCTTCTTTGTTAGTTAAGGAGTATCTTAGGGGTGGTCCCCTATAAATTTGATCAAAATCTAATAATTGGGTCTATGAGAAAATCCTCAAATTCTTAATTTTTTATGTATGTTTAGCGATAATTCTTAACCACCTTGTCCGATTTCTGTGATTCTTTTTTTGTTAGTAAGGGGATACCTTAGGGGTGGATCCATTAAAATTTGGTTAAAATTTAATGATGGGGTGGATCTATGAGAAAATCATCAAACTCTTAATTTTTGATCTATTTTCAGCCATAATTCTTTATCACGTTGTCCGATTTCTATGTTTCTTTTTTTGTTAGAAAGGGAATACCTCAGAGGTAGCTCCACATACAATTAATCAGGATCTGATGAACTATGAGAAAATAAAAAAAATTTTAGGGCACTGCACGATTTTGAAGTCGGTTTTTTAATTAAAAAATTATTGTGTTTTCGTGTTTTTTTTTATTTATTTATTCATTCGTTAAATCTGTCAGTCGACTAATAATTGTTTGAAATTGTTATTGGCGCTATTGGTGGTATTCATTTGAAACACCGTCATCCTGTAGAGGTAAATAATTGTATGTAGCCGATAGAAATTTTCGTGTTTTGCAAAAAAAAAATGCCACTATGGAGCTTATTGTTTAAAAAAAAACTTACCAACCATCTAGCTCTCGAATAAATTACATTATTTATTGATTTTGATAGTTTTTTTTTGAATAAATTTATAATTCAACTATATGATGTTATGTTATGTTGAGAATGGGGTGTTAATACACTGCGACCTAAAAGATATATTGTGCCCCCTTCTGTCGCCACTGCACTAAGGAAATGTCTCAATGCCTATAGCGACCCTTCCAATCCTATTTTCTCAAGGAAGTGTAGGCTTTGAAGTGGCTTCAAGTTAGGTAAGTCTCCCTCTTCTATTTGATATCTTCCTAGATATAGTGCCCTTGGTTTCTGGAGTGCTACACATTCAGTTAGGATGTGAATGGAGGTTTCGTCCTCCTCCTCACAGAATCTGCACTCACTATCCTCTACTACTCTCAGTTTACTTAGGTGTCCTTTTAGTCGGCAATGCCCGGTAAGGATCCCTGTTACAATACGTAGCCTGTTCTTGCTCAGGCAGATGCAGGCTTCCGATCTTTTTTGGTTAAATTCACCCAGAAGTATCTTGGCCTATCTCAGCCCCAAGAGATTATTCCAATTATCGGTTCTTCTACTACCCAATTCGTTTTTAATCTCTCCTAATATTATGTTACTGCTGATACCGCAGAACGGCTCAGGTCCTACAAAGGGTGTTTGAGCCCCTTTCCTTGCAAGACTATCTGCAATCTCGTCACCCTGTACCCCGTTATGTCCCGGGACCCAAGTGAGAGTAACTCTATTTTTCTCGCCTAGCTCATTCAATTGTTCTAGGCATCTCCAGATCATTTTTGAGCTGATTACGTAAGAACTCAGCGCTTTGATGGCTGCTTGACTATCGGACATGATGATAATCTCAACTATATGATAGATATGATAGAGAAATTTAGAATGGCAAAAACGTTCAATTGTAATTTATAGCACTAATAACGTTAAAAGGTGCACGATAACTTTTAAAAATAGTAAAATACCATTTAGAATTGAATGCAATGGTATAGGTTCCAAAATTTGTTTTTATGATGTGGATAATTTAGCAGTGGTCTATTACGCTATTTTTGACAGATATTGTCTTTATTTGTAGTCTTTTAATTTTGGTAGAAATTCGATGAAAAAAAAAAACCGTTAACCAGAGCAGAAATGACTAAAACATTTGAGAATTATACAGGGTGTCCTTTAAAATGTGTCCCAAAATTCTCAGGCAGATTCCTTAACCAAAAAATGGAAAAAAAGTTCCTATAGACCTATGTCCTAAAGTGCCCCCTAAGCGAGCAACAGCCTCTCGAAATCATTTTTTTTATTTTGATTTTTTGAATTTTCTTAAAAATGGAAACAAATAAAAGAACCAAATTTTGGCTGTTAAATATGATCAATAATAGTGACCTTTTGAAACCTTCAAAAAGAAATTATTTCGTCAGGGGTGTACTTGGGAATTTTTTGAAAATTTTGATTATTCATAACTTTTTTGTGTTTTTGGTAATGACTTATCCATATTTTTTTTTACATTCTACATTGAAAACTACGTCAAAAAGGAATACTTGTTTGATCTCGATTGGAGCAGCCGTTTCCGAGAAAACATCATCCAAAGATATTCGTGCAGTTTAGGTTAATTTTCAATTTTGGCTGTTGTAGCCAAAAAGTTGGAAATCGAGGAACACGGCTTACATGTCCCTATCCTTACTTTTGAAGGTCTATTCAGTGGCAAAAAATATTAGTTGATACAGGGTGATCAAAAATCGGATGTGATTTTGGATTTTTGATCACCCTGTATCAAATAATATGTATTTTATGTCACTGAATAGACCTTAAAAAGTTAGGATAGGGACTGTAAGCCGTTTTCCTCGATTTCCAACTGTTTGGCTACAACAGCCACCTGAATTTGAAAAAATGTGATTTTTGAGTAGCTGTAGATCCTTTACTATTCATATTAGATAACAAGTGTGATATATCATTGAAATCAGATTATCGAGCAGATTCTAAAAATATAAAAATATACAGGGTGTTCCATTTAAAAAACATAACTTTGATTTGGCACGGCCTTATGAAACACCCTGTCACATCGTAACTAATTTTAAAATGTGAAGCTTAAAGCTGCCTACTTTTATTATAACAGATCTACAGAGCTTCCTCACACTAATCAATCACCCTGTATACTATTTTTAGCTCTCTAAATAAAATTTAAAAATTTAGTTCCCATTTATTTATTATGAAGACCATAAGGTTTGTATTTAGCTGTTTAGAATAAAAAAGTAAAAATATGTATTTTTTTGGCGTTTTTGTGTTTCATGGATAATTTTTTTCGCTCACTGATAAAAATGTTTCTTCAGTTAAACATTATTTCTAAAAGTGTTCTGGTGCGATTCGTTGTATTGTTATTATTTTGTTTAAAATGGCTCACAATAACTACAATAATGATTACACATTCGGCGAAATGACGGACATGCACTTATGTTTTGGACTCGCTTCTGGAAATGCCAATGAAGCTCGCAGACTTTATCAGGAGCGCTTTCCAAATAGGCATCTTCCATGCGCTAAGACGTTTTCTAGAATTGACGATAGACTTCGGGAAACTGGTACATTTAAGAAAAACTCTAGTAACAGTGGAAGACAAAATTATGTGAGAAC